AAATATTTTATATAAGCTTAAAATAAAGTTTGGGCAACCGAGAAAATTTGAAGGACAGGAAACTTTAAAAATAGTATAGGACGATCGTAGTATAGGCCTACTGGGGACCCGCTACTTTAAATAATGGGAACGCATCGACGGCGGCACCTCTTGGGTGATGTGGAAGCCCGCAGGTTGTCGTTGTTATGCCTTTATTGTAATAAGATAAATAAATTAATTGGATATACTCTTTAATCTGTTAATCCCATTTGCAAAAGCACATTTTTTTTTGTAAAAAGAAAGTGCTCTCCATAGAGGGGTCTCGAACCATAGACCTCCCGACTCGTAACCGGGTGCACTAGCCAGGCGCCAGAAACATATGTTTCTTATGCTTTTTTCGGAAGTTGTATTTCTAGAATTTCATCGTTTATTCAACTGCTTACTATTGTCGTTGCGCTTACTTTACATATAAGCAGAATAATATGAAGATGCACTCCAGTTAAGAACTTTCGCGCCACCCTTGTCCACGTGGACGAACAAAAGAGAATAAAGTATACTTTGGGCAATCTAGAAAGATTAAAAGAGAAGAACCTTGACAGGTTATTCACTCAGCTACGATGCTCGTTTAATACTAAATTAAATTTATTATAGATATTTATCTATGATATTTCAAAATTTCTCTTTAAACTGTTCTCGGTCGTTTCATTTAACAACGAATTTCGCCATTCATTTTTTAATGTCCATTTTCGGCATGATAAGAGGTAAAGAGTGAAAACCAATATTTCTATGCATTTTTTATAACTTTTAAAATTATTTGAATATACACATTTGTTTGCGCATTACGTCCATTCAAATGTTTAGGGTTTAGTTGGACGGAAGACCTTGCTGCCCCGCCTGTTTGTCAAGAACGGTTTGTGAGGGGCGGCAACTTTTTCCCCACCACCGAGCAATCCATTCATTTTCGCTGACTGCAATATCGGCTGGAACGATGATCACGACCCGCGCGGCTACGCGAAATCTGTAACATCGACAGAGGCGATGATCACGAAATCCTACTCCCGGACTCGCCGCTACGATTTAGCGCCATGCTTTTGGTATCGCCTAAAACCGGAGCGTTGTACATCTCCCCACTCATCTCTGCCGAAAATCACACACTTTCCTCTCTAGTGGCATAATGTACTATTACAGTACTGTTAGTACATTTCGGAACGCACCCATAATAGCAATGCAGATAATCACAGATAATCTTCATAACATGAAGTTTGATCTCTTTAGTAACCTCATTCCTTAGAATTCAGTTAAATTTTGTAAACGATATTAAGCCATTATCTATGTAAAAATGTCTAGAGGAAGACATAAGACCTGTAAAAAGCATCTGAATTGTAAAACATGAAGCGGGGAATAATAAGCACAGAAAATGTTTGAAAATATATATTTTACAATAGGCAAAACTATCATGATAAAAGAAAACATTTCTGAAAATGGGGACGATATAAAAACAAACATATATTTTAATATGCGGATGATATAAAATAGCAATGTAAACGCCTTTGTACAATTGTTTTTAGTCTGCAAAAAATAATGATACTAATGTAAATTACTTAGTGTGATGTGTGTAAGACTATATAGTTAACACATTACACACGCTTCAAAACCATCTATTTCTTGCCTGTTTTGAATTTTTAACGCACGGATACAAGTACTCTTTTGCTAATTATAAATCCCAATGCTTTTTTTGTTCTTATAATACACATTATTTGGAGAGTACATTTTATGCATTTGTTAATTTTTTTTCTTTATAGAAATGTTCCATACATATATGTAATTATATTATTATTTATATATTATACACGGGTGAAAGGATATATATTCGATTAGTGCCTGGAAGCTATCCTTTAGCAGGCAATCTAATACTCGACGCTGGCCAACGAGAAGGAAAGTGATTGCAGCTGCTTTCAAATACAAAAAATATATATACGTCCGTATCTCGAGTTTATATTTTTCATAACGTACGCTTGACATATTACGAAATTTTTAGATCCACGCGCGTATAATAATAATTGTATTTATCTTTTCCGCTTATCATATTCTATATTATACTGCCATATCGTACGTACCTCTTAACTGTTCCTGTAAATCGTTTAATGTCGATCGGATTTAAACTCTTGTGGAAAACTCTCCGATATGCTTTTAAAAAATAGTCTACATACGGCCCAGTGAAAAGTACAAATTACGAAACTAAATTTTGTCCGACAGTAAAATTTCTTTTCATGATCCAAATCGTCCCCGTTAGCGTGGTATAGTCAAGGATACCTCATCGGAAAGACGTTAAATGGATTCATTCAGGATCGCTCTGTAGAGTTTCGCCATTGGTCAGTACCAAAGCATCGTCGTCGGCTTCATTATAATCAAGCGAGAGGACACTCTCACGTCTTTTCTTCTTATGTACTCTTTCCTCGTCACTACTAGGTCCACTTTTATCCCTTTTTGTCCTATCCCTTCCCCTGGTTGTTCTGGTTAACACCTCTTCCCCATTTGTCTTACCACTATTTCTGTTATTACTTTTAGTCCTCAATGTTCTTTTGTTACTACGACTGTCTTCCTCATCCTCCTCTTCTCGCTCACTTAGCTCTTCGTTTTCCACCTTTATAATGAGAGCTGCAGAATCGCTCGAACTCTCGTCGATCTGCTCCGGTTGGCTAGGCCTACGCTCTGTTCGTTCCGTCCTTTCAACACTTGCACGTTCACTTCGGGGGGAACCCTCAGCTGGTAACGGTGGAGTCCTAGCACCTTTGCACACGTCACTGTCTTCTGTTTTTATTGATTTCACTTCCATCTCCATTCCATCGTCTGGTTCCTCTTTCTTGATCGGCGGCGTGTGAGGCGACATACCATTCGTCAAATTATTCTCACCAGGATTCAATTTAAGCGCTGCGTTCTCTTGTTGCAATAAAGTCACTGATTCACGCGCTTTACGCAATTCCTGTTGGAGGAAATATATAGTGCTCTGCATACCCTCCACGTCCTCGTCCAAGTCTTGGAGAAACTCGTCGAGTTCTAAAAAACAAATGATAACATGTCCTGCTTTGTTCGACCACTCGAATCTATGTGTAAGAAAAGTATACAGAAAATTATTCGTACCAGACTGGGATTTCTTTACTTCTTCACTAAAACTTTTTTGAAGTGCTAGTTCACCCTCTAACTTAGCAATTCTACCGCTTGCAATCATTCTGCCCAGTTCTTCATTTTCCTGGTATAGCAACCTGCACTTTGCCATTAATCTTTTGCCCGTGTTGCTAAAACAATTCAATGAAAAATTCATAGTATCATATTTAGTGTGAAAGTAACGCGGGTTTTATGTATGTTCTTTTGGTCAATTTAGTTACCTGTCAGGCGTGAATTTCCAGGCGCTAAGCTCATTCTGTGTGTCTTCGAGTTTAGCTTTGGTTGTAACCAATTCTTGTCTAAGTTTCTGAATTAGAATATTCACAGCAGGATCCAACAGAGCAGTTCTCAACGCTGCAGCAGTTGGTGCATGGGTGGCTTTCATTTCAGATATCTGATTCTAGAAAAAGTAACACACGCTTTCTACAAAACCATATATCATACCGAAGACATACTGCATATAGTATAATGACAACAGATTAATACATACAACATATTCTTGCAATTCCTGTTCTTTAGAGGCTAGCCTCCTCACCAGAATCTTCTCTCTATGTGACGCTTCCGCATATTGCTGCCTGTACTTATCCTCAGATTCTCGCAGTGAAGCTACTTCACCTATAACAAGATAGTTCATGCATCTCCTAATTACAAGTGAGAAATGTATTGTAAAAAAAATTCCATGTTTCTTGTAAAATTACTATAAATTATTAGTCAACACAATACATTATTTCAAATAATACAGATCTCTAATGCATATTATTTTTCAAACTGTTTATGAAAGTCTTAAACACTACTGAATACATGTAAATTTACAAGCAGCATGGAGGATTTTTTATTTTACGGAGTATAGAGATATTAAATTATATGTGCTAAGTATGGGGTTCCGTAATTACTATTGTGGCACAGAATTATCCCCTGTGTGTAAATCACGAATTACGAATGATCACCTGATCGTGGTAGAAAGTGGTATTGGTGAATCTACTCTCGTGTCCTATGTGCACGCATAAGGGACATTCATAAATAGTGATATTGACTGCCTGACAACTGACTTCGTTAACTGACGCATACTTTGATCTCTCGTGAAGTCGTCGGGCCGGATGCCGTTTGCGAGTACTGTGCTTCCACCGAGACGACGCGTTCTGACGTTACGCTCTCTTCTGAAGTTTTCAGAAAGCCAATTTGTATGTGGTCCACTTAGTTGATGTTACATCTGTTAGAGCTGCTGTGCCATTCTTCTGTGCTTCTTTTATTAGTTAATTCTTTTTCATAATTTTTTATTTCTCAAGGATAGGGCAGGTATTGGATAGTTTTGTCGATTAGCATAATGATAATAAGATCATTGTAATTGGTAGGAATGAGATGTAAAATATTTTGGGATTGTGTTTTGTGGGATTATTTTTACCCTGTCAAAAGAGTACTGGATTGGAAAAGAAACTCTTCTTTGGTAGGATCGGATAGCAGCTTTGTACATTCTTATTCCAGTCTGGGAATAATTTGTCATCGAAGGTAATTGACTCGTTCAGATTCTCTTCTAAATGATGTTGCTGTTATGCAGCATGTTGAGGTCATGGTATTTCTCAAATCTTCTAGAAATTGTACACTTGCGTCTGCACTGTCCTTTTATTCTGTGAACCACTCATGCCAGCATGAAATAAAATACGCATTAAATGCGAACACTACACCAATCACTACTCATTGCGTTTTTATCACAAAAGAATTCGGATTGATTTATCAGTACCGCACAGCACTCCCTTAGAATTTAGTACATTTATGAATAATGAAAAATTCATGGCAAAGCGCATAATTTTTCATAGGCATCTTTCAGGAGAAATAATCCATCTCACACACAAAATAAAATTATAAGAAATTCAGCAATTTTGCACCAGTTATAAAACACAATTTAACACGAATGACAGATATTCCTTTTTAAGACACCACATGTCATACTTGTGCAATTAGCTAACACTGCAGATGACACTTTATCACGATTGCACAATGAATAACATGCCACAACCAAACAACATCTTGATAAATGTTGTTGGGGCAAGCCTAGATCGAACGCAATCATTTGGGCAACTCCAACAATGAGACTTAGAATAACTTACTTATTAGTTCCTAAACTATCCATAATTATAAACTAAACTAATTCTAGACACTGGGCAAGAAAGAGTATTTCATCCTTGTGCGCTTAGCGTCTCTACCAGAGTCTTGCCTCAATGGTGAGACTTCAGATCAGTTGGATTTGTTTCATTTTAGAAATGCAGTTAAGAAATGTGGGCTAGTGAAGTGATGGCCTCACTCATGTGATCTCAGTACCTTCCTGGGCTGCCGCCTGTGCCTCTAGACACTCCACATACAAGTCCTGTTCACGCCACTTGGCTGCCAATTCGTCCTTTGTCAGCCCATCCAATTGTTGGTCCGTTAACTTCAACCTGCGTGGCTGTCTGGGCGACCGTGGACTGCTGGGCTTTGCACTGCTGGTAGCACCACTGCTTTGTGGACTCCGTGGTGAGGATGGACCAGCCGACTTGACCTCACTGCTTTCTTCTGCCATTGTGCAATTTCACAATCCACCAATAGTTGTCGTATATCTTGCAGGAAGTACTTCAGATGCTTAGGGTTGGCCCAATCCCGATCTCCTTAGGATCAAGTATTCCTTTGGATGACAGACATCTGTCTGAAATCAGAATATAGAATATCAATCAGAATACATAACCCACAAATATAATAATATTTATGTACTAAGATCAGTAAGGAAAAGTATCTAGTTTCCAATAATCACGAATCTTACTGAAATGATTTAAGTTTTCTTAACATTCATTCCCATGTGATGTGACAATTGTATCATTTGACCATAAACGGTATAACGAAAACTTCAATCATTTTTTATTGCACTCAATTTAAATAGAAATTTTATGTAATATACATATTAAATGATATTAAGCATAACGTTAGGTGCACTTAATAAATTCAGACACTACCAAAGGAATCCAATTCACTGCATGTACAATCGGAGTACACGTTATAAAATTTTTGTGAACATTGTACTACGAAAAAGCACCGATAAAATAAAAATCGTTCTGAGAATCTGTGAAAACAGCACAGAGAATATCACAAGATATTCAAAATACTCCAAAAAGATCGAATGCACAAGTAAAAGAGACGCCATTAATCCAACATGTCGGGCGCCGCCGGAGAGAAGGGCCAATCGTTTCTCTGTTACATTTCCAAGTGCAACGTCCTCAAGTAAAAGAGCGCGTCAAAATTATGTAATTACAAAATAGCAAGATACTCAAAAGCCGCCTGGAAATGTGCCAACTATTTCAGTACTATTGTACTTCATAGTTCGTTCTATAGACAGTCTAATGTCCCGTAACGCCACACTGTGCTCCAATTTTACTCTTTGACCGAAACACTCGACTTTTCTTCTATGACTGATGTAAAAGGCCATCTCATCCACAATCTCTACCTTTTTAATGGCGGGATGTCACCAGGATTTTCTGGCGCGCAAGGATCGACGAATTTTCCGTTCAATCCGTACGCCGAGTCCACATTATTTGGACTCACCACTCGCATAACACGACTGTTTCAATGAGTTGCGCTACTACACACCATACAACCGATATAACTGCGTGCGACTTGAGACTATCCGGTCAATGCAATAGTGCGCAAGTCCGACAACCACCCGCCACTTCGCGTTGAAATGCCAAACTTTGCCGAATCTCCATTTCACTCCATCTCTATCCGTATGCGTAGAGTCAATGGATTATGAACGTATAAACTGAGATACAAATTTAGAAATTACTGAATCTTGTGTTAATTATCAGATTATCTGTATACTGATATGTATTATTTCTAGTACCGGGCTTCTGGAGAGAGATAAATGCAATCAACACAAAAAAAAGAACATACTTCCTTTCGATAAGAATACATAGTAGATATGCAGAAAAAATGAAAGATATCATCCTTTTTTTGTTTACATCCTTATATTTTTTTAAATGTATTTTTTATTGCTTAATAATAAGTGATATAATTTGCTTTACCGCGCAACAATTTTTCTCAATTTTTCGATCGTGTGTTGTGTTATTACAGACATAATCTCATAAGATACAAAAGGGTTATGTTTCTAAGTGTGAAGAGGTATAGTTATACGAATAAATATTTACACAATGTCCAAAAATCATCTATAAGTGGTTTAATTGAACAGCAGTTGTCTTAATGACGATTTTTGGATGTTGTGTTGTCTGAAATCCTAATCGAAATTTATAACAATATTTTTTTAAGAATATAATAGATAAATTAAAATGATGCAATAACAGTGTTTTATATGAATTGTGGCCAGCCACTATATGTATATATATATAAACTTACAATTTCTTTCCAATAAAGCCGTATTTCGAGGACGAAGCTTTTCCTCCGGTTGTTTTACTAGTTTCTAGTGTCCTCTTATCTATCTTTGACGATGTTTTTAATACTGTAGTATTGTTTGAAGTATTTGTTTTCTGAATTTGCGATAGATTGCTTTTTGGATCTGGTGAAATTCTCCTCTTAGCTGTTACAATTAATCTTTCGTTCAAACTTGAAGCGGAAGATGCTGCACTGAAGCTTAATTTCGTCAGACCGCTACCATGTTTAGATAATTTTCTAGTATTCGTTGACATTCCAAAACTTTTTCTTCTGACAGCATTTTTCAAGTCAGCTGTTCCAGCTTTCTCGACAGGCAAGGTGGGTCCGATGCTTCTGCGAACTGTTGGCTTTTGCAATCCAGAAATTGATCGGAGCGACGTACGAGATGACAAGGAACTGTTAGAACTCGGATGAGAATCGTATTTCGGACTAATTCGTGAACTTGTACCCTTTGGCACTGCTATTGGTTTAATAAAAACATCTTGCCCTAAATAAAATCAAATACGTCCATAGTTAAATAAGTAATTTTAATTCAAGATTTATTATCTCTCCGTTTACTTACCTTGGATTGAGGAATTGGAACTTGGTGCATCGCGTACTAACATTTTTAACGCTCTTTCGAGATTATCGCGGGTCTTTAGAAGGATTTCTAGCAATGCAGATTCTTCATCACTTTGTAAAGATATATGTCCCAAAGAATTGCAAAGTTGATTAAATACCACAGGTGTACTAGCAATTTTTGGTGGTGAAGGTCGTGGTTCACATTCTATATTCTCAGTCTCCATATCTAAATCCCAAGTTTTTCGACGGATTAAAGTTGGACGAACGCTAGTAGAAAGCGAAACGGATCTTGGATCAGTTTTTACGTTGCTCGATACAGGTTTTACATTTTCGGCAGTTTTATTTGACGCTAGTTTCTGTAAAGTGACAATTTTGAATCTCTTTAAATGATGTTATATCGTGTAAAACTCACTTACCGTGGTAACACTATTCAAATCAGAGTTTGATAAACTTCTAGAACTCTGTTGTTTAGCTACTTTCTTAGAATGGAAACCAGTATTGACTTCTTTACTCAAGGGATTAGCCAAATACTTCGAACTTCCATATTTTGCCGTATTAAATTCCGGCTGAGTGTAACTTCTCGTCATGCCTTCCGTTCCGTCAGGAGATACTTGTTTACCGACATCATGTAACGCAGAACAGTTCAGTTCCGACTGAGAATTTTGATTGACATCCGTTGCAGTGTTACTAATCATTTTAAATAGCCTGTAGCTAACATCACGCAAGACTTCATTCATTTCTTTAGGAACTGTTGGTAATAAGTTACTCCCTGTTTCTTCCACTTTATTAATGCTATCCTAAAAATATAGTATTCTTAAATCAATTTATTATCATACTGCATAATACACTTTTTTAATGTAATTGTACACAACTTTCATAACAAACCATGCTGCCCGTAGGTCCTGTACCACTGATACTCCAAAATGATCCATCCTTGGCTTCGTCAGGATGTGGACATTGGCAGTTAACGTCGTCCATTTCCAAAATGGCTTTAAATTTTGAACTACCGCATTCGAGTATAATTCGCAATTCTTTTTCCTTAGGTTTGCTCTCTTTACTTTCGGCATTCCCAAATTTTTCAAATTCACGTAACTTGAAACCAATCGCTTGTAAGAGGCAAATTAAACTTGGAGCATCTGGCTTCATCGATGTCTGAAAATAACGGACATTATTAGAAGAATCTCAAATAATTGCCATTCTGAATTAATGTCAAAAACATGATAGCGCTTACGTCCTCCGTGAAGTCCGTGTTGAACCATCTGAGTGCCCAATGGAAAAATGTACGAGAATAATTGACGCGTGTTGTAACGTTTACGGAACCAGTAGTCGCCATGTCACTGGATGAACGAAATAATAGCGACTGGTGACGACCAATTTCGTTTGTTCGGGAACGTACTGACATAAGCAATTTTTTGTCGTCATATATACTGTTATTCAAACCGAAGTTTGAGAATGTGTCGAATATATTGACACGAAGCCAACTGTAAACACTTTGGATAAATATATTTATCTGTCAAGAAAGGCCTCTGATTAACAAAGCCATTTAAAACTATCAGTGTTATTCAAACTATTTACAGTTCGCTTCGTATCATTCGTATATTTGACACATGCTCAGAATAACGATGTGAATAACGAAAATAGTAAAAGGTGGTTATATCCGCAAAGTGCTCGCGAAAAATCAATATATCGGTTGATACTAGTCATTATTATTCTTTTCACCCAATAAGATGGCGACTATTGTTTTCTCACAGGTCGCAAAATATACCTATTATTCTCATCACCTATTCTATCTATTATTCTCTCACCTTTTTTCAGTACCTAAGCATTCGGATAGTTCAACGCTGACTTCCACGAAGGACAAAAGCGCTAGAATGATCTTTCAAATAGATTTACAGCGCATTAAAAATGGCCAATTATCGTAATTGGCCAAATGTGATGATATTTGTATTAGAACTTTACATGTTGCAAAAGTATCATGTAGAAGAAAAATTATTATACACATTTACATAATGTCGGGTAGACATACATATATGAACGCATTTTTTTTGCACAATAAATACAGGTTTAATTTTAAAAGGTAGCGAAAGATTCCATTTCCACCGTTCCTTACGCAATCTCTGTCAAGCCGGTGGATAACTGCGTGAATTGAACTTCAGTGCTTTGATAATTTCTTGTCAGTTTTCTTCGTTAAATATTTTGTACAGGCTAGGGCAGTCAATAACGATGTTCGCAGCTAGACGTACTCTCGTTTCCTCCGCTCTGTGAGTTATAAATTTCCAGACTATTAGTTAACATTATTAGAGAAGTAACATTATATAATTGTAACCTATTACATATAGAGAGAATATTCATTCTCTTAGTCAAAGAAATAAAACAGATTTATATGAATTTTATATAGGTATTTTATGTAGGTACTATTATATTTGGGTACTTGGCATATAATGTCATGTTTTCAAATGGACTTAGTTCAGTAGTATAAGAACTATGATATATCACCATACTTTTTCCTTTGATTTCAAGACGCAGCAAAGATGCCATTGTCAGGCAGAAACATTCGCTCCCAGAATTGCCATATGACTATAGAGCATTGGAGCCTATTATCTGTGCTGAAATTATGGAGTTGCATCATTCAAAGCATCATGCTACTTACGTGAATAATTTGAACATTGCTGAAGAAAAATTGAAAGAAGCTGTAGGCAAGGGAGATGTGAATACTCAGATTGCTGTGGCACCAGCCTTGAAATTCAATGGTGGTGGACATCTCAATCATTCTATTTTCTGGCAAAACTTGTCTCCAAATGGTGGCAAACCTGATGGTAGGTTTTCAGGATTAGACAAATAGTATTCATTTGTTGAATGATTTTTTCAAACATCTTTTTTAGCTGCTCTCATGAAACAGATCGAGAAAGATTTTGGTAGTTTTGAGGAGTTCAAGAAGCGATTGTCCGAGAGCACTGTAGCTGTTCAAGGTTCTGGCTGGGGCTGGCTGGGTTATAATACAAAGGATAAGAGATTAGAAATTGCAACCTGTGCCAATCAAGATCCTTTGCAAGCTACTACTGGTTTGGTGCCCTTGTTTGGCATTGATGTCTGGGAACATGCATATTACTTGCAGTATAAAAATGTTCGTCCTGATTATGTTAAGGCAATATTCGACATTGCCAATTGGAATGACATCAGTACACGCTTCAAGAAGGCAGCTGGTTGTTAAAATATCACTAATATGCATTATGTGTACCCTTTGTCTTGTAAAATGTCATTATTGATACTGTAGTCACCTATAGGTGCCTAATTCTTTGTAAACCTTTATGTTTTCGCTGGAAAACAGTTTTAGAATAAGCAATCTATTCGATGTATATTGCTCTTATGTATTGCATATGTCATATGCATTAAATACACTCAAAGCGATAGAAAATTGCCTTTTCTTTACAAAACACTCACATTATTATCTATTATATTTACTTATTAAATGCAATATTATAAATAAAATGTTTATATTTCAAATTTAAATCTTCAAATGCCAACAAATATGAATTTTGTTTTGCAAGATGTTTACAAGAATTTTATAAATTCGAGTATCAGACCTTTTTTAACATTGACTTATTATCATTGGCAAAGTTAACTTGTGAAAAAGAGTAACCGGCCATTATCTGCTTAATTACAATGAATTTAAAATAAGAATGAAAAGAACAATTTTTAAATACGGCTGCCGCTTCATAATCAATTTCGTCCAGTAGTCAAGAGGAACGTCGGAACGCGAACCAGTGTGACTGGAGGACCTCAGCTGTTTTTATTCGAGTCGCTGCGTATCTGGTGAGTCAAGAGGTTATTAGAATGTTTTCACGATAAGCTTGTCCATCGTTCACATTATTTAAGTGACTCTATCGAATAAATGGTGTGTATTAATTTTTGGGACCAATTAAGAAGTCCCACTATTGATTCTAGTGCAAGAGACTGGTTCTCTTGGCTGTGATGCTGACATTTGACAGTTCGTTATTTTGACATACGCTTGGCGTTTCGTCCCAGATGATTACGTCACCGTTATTCTGCATACAAACAAAACAACAAAGAAAAATCATTAATTACGTATATACTTCCTTGTCCTGTCATTATTATATACATATTTTCAAAATTTGCACGGCTTACTACCTAATATAAATAATGTAACGTTCCTTACCTATTTTCAATATGGAGCGACTAGACCTTTTTTTGTCAACTAGTCAAAAGCTTAATTTCTAAAGAAAAAGGTCGATTTCCATTGGTATTTTTTGCAATCAAAAACTTGCTTTGCATGCCTATATAGATAAGAGTTATTGGGAATTACATATATTCACAAATAGCGTCTCTATAATTAAATTGCGAATCGTTGTCGAATGCTTGATTCATGTCAACCTTGGCTGCATTCAATAGCTCAATAAGTAAGTAATACACTGTATAAAAGTGAGCTACTTCAGAGAACTCAGGGAATGATAAAAATGCCACCCTGCCTTTTTTTGCCGATGGTACCTAAAAGGGAAGAGGTTATATACAGCATAATGAGTACTATTGCTAATAGGGTGTACATACATATCACTAGGTTGGCTCCGACACGGAAATAGAGAAAGATGCGCGTTGGATAACATCGAATGCACCAACTCCAAGTAGGAAAAGAGTGATGAAAAGCGGCCTGAAGAGCCGAAAGGGATAGCGCATGACACCATACCGCGAATGTCACCACCATTTCTAGTATGCAAGTCATTATAGCTTATCGACAAGGTCTCGGATATAATATAATATTTTGCAAGGATTTTGAAGTGGTGCGAATACCTTGTAGAGGCGCCTTCGTCATATCCTCCGGAGTACAATGTTATAACGCTCCGACTTTCGTGTAACTTCTTAGCGTAAATTTCCTGGTGAATTTGGAATTCAGTAGCAAAGCTTCGCTCGTTCGCTCTAAAGTATAATAATGAAAGTACAAACATTGATGAAATTGTATTGAAAATGACTGTATAGTTATAGGTTATGGCGAATTAATACATTCAAAATTTCAACGGTATTTCTTAATTATGTAGAGGAATAAAATTATATTTATTATTTTAATATGTTGGTTATTCTCACGATTGAACATATAAAAGTACCAGAAAATTGTATTATGTTGTATTACGTTAACATATACTTTTATTTCTTTAACCGCTCTAACAAATCCTTTCTTTGAAGAAGGCGCTCAGGTTCGTCCTTGAATGACCCATATTGCTCCAATTACTACGCAGTAACAAGCAGTTACCTAACTCAGGGGCTTTATTTATTGGTTAAAGGCAAACTTTTAAAATATGAAATAGGCTGTACTCTTGATACTCTCTCACTTTTCTCTTTCTCTTTCTCTTTCTCTTTCTCTTTCTCTTTCTCTTTCTCTTTCTCTTTCTCTTTCTCTTTCTCTTTCTCTTTCTCTTTCTCTTTCTCTTTCTCTTTCTCTTTCTCTTTCTCTTTCTCTTTCTCTTTCTCTTTCTCTTTCTCTTTCTCTTTCTCTTTCTCTTTCTCTTTCTCTTTCTCTTTCTCTTTCTCTTTCTCTTTCTCTTTCTCTTTCTCTTTCTCTTTCTCTTTCTCTTTCTCTTTCTCTTTCTCTTTCTCTCTCTCTCTCTCTTTCTCTTTCTCTTTCTCTTTCTCTTTCTCTTTTTTACCTCCATTCATTAAGATATATTTTTATTTTCGTTTGAATGAATTTCGCAAGAAATCCGCATACCCAGAGGGTGACTGAATTTATCCCCATTTTCCTCAGTTCACAATTAGATTTGGCATACAGCTATATAAAAGTGTTATATATCATGAAATTCTTGATGCAGCCTCCAGACTTCATATCAAGCTAGAGACCCTTCATCAATGTCGTTATTCATCATCAGGGTACGGTTGAACTTTTCCAAAAGATTACCGATTCCAGACTCGATAGGCACAAGAGCCAGAGACTTAGGGGTAGCTCGGGGTTAGCCAAGTCAATTTAAAAGTCGAGAGGTTCCAGAGGTCGCGTTGTTGTATTCAGCTTGGGGCGGCTGTCACGTTACCGGTTCCTGGTTGCTACTCCCCACGCTGTGAAACATACCGGAGTGGGGTCTCAGTAGCGTCGAGTAGCGTGGAAAACCTAGTGCTACCCTTGTGCACACCAGACGCCATCGATCTATGCTACTTCCGCACTCCATTTCCAGTCAGAGTTATGTACCTTGCGTTCACCTATCTCCATGTTGGGCATCGCTAGCGTCGCTTCTGGCAAATTTTATGAAACTGCCTGTAGTCCTATCGTGGTTGAGTTACATGCTCGTCATGCGAAAAATTTCATACCAGAAAAATACTCGTTCAACAATGATACATACTCCTTGGCCGAATTCTTAAGCCTCATGCGAACTTTACGAAGTTACGGTCGTGTACAGTGGAAGCTGCGGAATATTCGAAGAGATTCTTCGCGTCTGTTTCTTTTTACAACCCCTTGTGTCTCCTCGACAGTTCTATGAAAACTACGGATTTTATTGAAAGAACCCGATGTGGACATTTCATTTGCAGGCGCAATACAATTTCGGTTGGGGGTTTAGTTAAGCTTGCATGACCTACGGAGAGGATTCGCGCCAACTTGAATTTCAGACAAAAAGTAGTTTTCTTGAAATTCTTAAGTATCGATCTCTCGAAATTCTTTGACAACGACATTTTCCTCAATGAAAAGCCCCTTGATCTTATTCGTAGGGTAGTACGAGAAGTATTCCCATCATCCATGCTTGTTTTTCATGTGGTTTCTGTCCTTTTTTTCTGTTATCGAGAATCACTTCTCCTGCACCCTCCTCCCGCTAAAAAGGGCTTTTGATTCTACCACTATAGTATTTACAGCGATTTCCTTTTTTATATGCAAATAGCATCATGTAAAAGTAAAACTAAACGGAAATAATTCGTCCATAGAAATTGGCCTTATTCATTTCATAACCGCGAACGAATACAATGTACTGATCGTGAAAAGGCAGACAAAGCAAACTTCTATCCCAGTACGGACTACAGCGATGGAATCTTTCCGTTTACGTTCCGGATTTAAGACCGTTGTATTAGGTATAATCCATGGATAGACTAGAAGATTTACAATATCGTACAGGTATGTACAATAATTAAGAAACACAATAATTTTTTTGTCACTTATCTTACTTGAACTTCCATTTTCATTTTTTCCTTTGTTTTTTTTTTTAACATTACCCGATGTTCTTGCTGAGTTCTCGAGAGGATCAAGAAAAACCTTAAATATTGGAAACGTAAGGTTCTCGCAGTGACTCACGGCATCCCGTCGAGACTTTTGCGAACCCATGGTGGCCGACGAACCCCCATAGTTGAACGAATAATCTAATTCAGCGGGACCCCCCAAAGACAATATCCCTTCCCTAGGTCTGCTTACTAGCATTTCTCGACTCCCTCTAGCACCCTTACCCCCATACTCTATTTTTCATCGCTTCTTTTTCTCCCTAGTTTTACCTGCCCTCTTTGGCCCTGTTACATGTTCTACATGCCGATAGCGGCACACCCCATCCCTTGACCTAAATTCTCTCTCATGTTTATCATCCACGTACTGTGTTACTCGATGACGCCTCCCAGCATGAATAACATGAATCATATAAGAAATTTCAAAGGATCTTGAATCTCAAATGAAAGATATAATTAACCTTTCTCGTTTTCTTGATGAGTTAGTGCCAGGTAAATCCTCCCACAATTAGCCCCTATTGTACCGACGCCACGAGAATATCAAATAATCCATCTGACCCTGCATGCTCAAGGACCAAACAAAACAACATTTACTATTCAAGGTACTTTCAAAATGATGTAGTATGACGAGGAGTACATGCATTTCCTGCTTGTCGATACGAGAAGGACGTATACGATGTGTAAACCATGACGACGCTTTTCCGACGCTACTAAAATTCTTCGTCAATATATCTGTATCCTGTGATACATTAATATCATATGTAACATCTTCGAACGATATATGTACAAGCTGGAAAACGAATATCTATCGAGCCATTAGCAATTTTTCTTTACTCGTTTCACTTTCCCTCGTTTGTCGTTCACGATTGTTAATTATTGTGTAGGTTATTCCTATAAGGTTGCGCATCGTTTTGTCACTGGGAAAATACTAACCTAATATATCACAGGTTACATATAGAACGCAGGTATTTCCAAAACAGGGGTTGACGATCCGGTTGTTGTATTATGGCTTCGCTCGAAGAGGGCTTCGACACTTCGTTAACGTCGGGGTTTCGGTGATGGAGTTAAGGGATGATCCTGAAGTGAAATTGAAGATGAGAGTAACACTCACGTATATTACTCTAATATATGCACATTGCCCGTCATCGATGCCTTCCTGAAAGTTTCAATACTATTTTTCACATCTATATGCACTGAATAATTTCAGATCGATAG